ATGAAGGTTCACAGATCAAATATTGGCCCCAGACTCCTCTGCATGAAGTTTTATATATTTATATAGATTAGTTGATTTTGTCTTACAGTCCAAAGTCATGTAGGTCAGGTAAAGTGGAAAGTGGTGAATGTTTTTTGTAGCCTTGCAATGGAGTGGTGACAACTTTTCCAGGGTGTTTACCCACCCAAATTATGATGGGATACCCACCATATCACCCTGAAAGGAAATAAATAGATGTACTATTCCAGCAAGAAGATGTTAATGTAATGAGTTGAAAAGGGGAAAATCATCTCTATTTAGCTTTATATTGAACTCTGTAAAAAAAAAACAAAAAAAACAAACAAACATATTCTTATTATTTTATTTTATGGTATTTCCTTTTACAACTTCTAACGGCTATGACTAATTAATGTCTTAAATATAAATAAACCAGAAACAACCTCATAGGACACCCTGAATAAGGAGTGATCGCCAAGAACTGGTGAATAATGCATGGTATATATTGGAGAAGAGTTTGAAGGAGACCAAATCCAGACTGTGTGTGAGGGTGGGGCAGGGCCATGGGCTGGTACTATGTTCTAAGTTTTTTAGTGTATAAAATCCTGCTAAAAGTTACATCAGAATGTGTATTATATGTAACATTTACAGTATATATTCATTTGAAAGCTGCCATAATGGTGTTTCAGATGTTTCTGGCCAAATGTGTCTTCTGGATATAGAGTAAATGAAAACCTATGCCATCAGTACTAATAGACACACTTGCATGTACACACACAAACACACACAGCAATCAATACAGCACCAAAGCTCAATGCCAAATTACAATTCTCCAAATCACACAGATGGAGTGAGTGCTGACCAAGTGTTAGTGTCCCCTGGGTTATACATATAGATGTTTGTGTGTGTCTCTGTGTGTGTATTGTTGATGATGTCACCCATCCTAATATGACCCAGTCACAGACATCAAATGGAGATAATCATGTTTGAGTGTGTGGCTGTGCTGTAAATGCCTCGAGGCACCTTATGCAACCGTTGGGGACAATGAGAACTCAAACACAATACGTGCTTGAGCGCTTGTGTATGTGTGTTTGTGTGTGTGTGTGTGTGTGTGTGTGTGTGTGTGTGTTTTAATGTGCAATATGCCCTCCAGGCCTTTGATTACAGTGTGTGCATGAGCTACAGTTATATTATAATTAATAAATAACAATGTGTGTCTCGGTATTCACCCTCTGTCGGTGCTGTATTAGCAGGAATGGCTGTGTGCGTTTGTGTTTAACCTCAACTGCAAGTGTTTGTGTACTAAAGCATCTCACATGACAATAAAAAAAAGCTACTGTAAAATACATTTCAGTGTGTGCATGTGTAGATCTCAGAAGGGACAATGTCAGGACACTGTATATAAATGGGCACCGGTCACCCAAGTGTACTGGGCTTGTGGACAAAATTAATGACAGAAATGCTCCAGGCACCAGCTACACGCCACGTCGCAGGCAAGCCTCAGCACAAGTTGTAAGTGTAAAGTAATTTAAATCCTCTTCTGAAGGATGAGAAAACATTTTTTACAGTTGTGGGGATTAGTCTAAACTGGCTTCTCGCAGGTCACGGATGGATAGGCTTATGCAGGGCCATGTAACAGGTTTAGTAGCCACTGGCTTGTGGCATCGTTATATGCTTCTCTAATGTGTAGGGAGTATCTAACCTTCACATGTGAATAACTCCTCACTTCTGGACATCTTGGTTAGGCCTATAGTTGATTCAGTCTGTATCAGCTGATAAAGAATACATAGCTATTATATAAAGAATAGCTGTACCTATTGTACATGTGAAAGCTTATATAAGGAGTTCGGTCTACACCTGCTCTATTTGGAAAGTGTCCTGAGATAACTTCTGTTATGAATTGGCGCTACACAAATAAAATTGAATTGAATTGAAAGCCCATTTCTTACTTTTAGTCACTGGGATTTTCTTGACAAAAGGTACCAGGGTTATATGTTAACAAAACTGCATGATAATTTTGTCACTGTACCATATTGGTTCTGTACTATTTAGGGTTAGGTGATATGACAATATAACCTACACCATGAGGGGATAGAAGTTTGTCACCTGGTAAAGAAGAAGAAGTTTCCAGCCATTAGTGTTTATTATAATCAACATGACAATAAAGGTAACCAGCACCATGGTACTGTTTGGTTATGGTGTAGCAGTGCATAGTGGTGTTCTGCCATTTTAGTGACCGCATTACCATTGCCTCAGTACTGCAATATCAAATCAGGTCCTATAACATTGGAGCATCATGGAAAAACTAGCAACATACTGTAATACAATACAGTGAGCATATGAGTACTATTATGCAGCTGCACAATTTCCATTGGGAAATGGCACGGGAACATTTTAACATGATTTATTACTGCAACTGTGCAGCTCATACGTGAAAATCCAAACAACCATCTCCAGTTACTTTTTGTAGTTAAAAAGACATCACTAAATAAAAACTTGAAAATGTACCAGAGGAAAAAAAAACAAATGTTCTTTGTGCAGTAAAAGTATATATGACAAAAAGAAACAAAGGCAAAGTTTTCATTGTCAGCTGTGTTTTTTTTCCTCATTACCAAACTTCTGTCTTTCTGACTTCAGCCTTCCAGCCAGCTAGTTTTTTTAGTTGAGCAGCCCAGAAAAGAGCAAGGGAAAGATTGGTTGCAATATGATGAGTCTTGTCACTCTAAAGAACACAGACACACTTCAAACCCACAATCTGTCACTTTCCTCACATTAAAACAAAAGCCTGTAGAGCTGTTACTCTGCTTTTGGGGAAGTTATTTCCCATCTTGCGGTGAAAATATCATCGACTGACCAGGTAACACGAACAGGAATTATGGTAAATGGACTGTAAAACCGTCACAGACCATGGCTTCAAAAACTCCCAGGAAGGTGAATCAACACCACACTAAGCCTCGGCACAAAGTTAATTTGAAATATGGGTGACTGCAAGTCTGTTTAAATGGATTGTAATGGATTGTCATTGTACTTTGTGTCTCTATTTTGACGTGGGGGCGATCGTCACTACTTTGGAAATAAGAGAGAAGAAAGTAGCATGTTCACTGAAGAGGTAAATTGAAATTGTTATTGTAATCGTTATTGCAATTTTGTATTTAATTTGTGAACAGGCAAAATCTATTGTAATGATGTGCGTTGCGTAGTAATAACATAGTTTGAGTTATGTTATTTGATCGCACAGACAAGTAAATTTAGCAGGAGTTGGTTGTAGGGGTGGAAGACAGTAGGAGAAAAGGCGTGTTCATTCATTTAGTTTAAGTCTTGTAAATCGAGACTTCATTTTCCCTGGGAAATATTGTGCCCAGTGGCGGACAGAATTAGCTTATAGGGAACCAATCTAAACACAAATGGTGCCATTATTCTATAGCCATTACAGGGTGCAATTAGCATTTACTCCATAATGATAAGTTAAAGCGAAAAAGTTTTCTGTTTCCACTTTAAAATCCATTACCATCACAGCACCATGACACTTTTTTGGTCAGTGAAAGGATTTTTTCCCCATTTAGCCTCACGTATAGTATAGTAATAAAAAGATATACACAATGAAACAAACCTGTTACCTTATGGTGAACCTTTAAATTTACAAATAGTTTTGATTTGTGGATGTGTGTGTAAGTTTGTGTGTGTTCATGGTCTTCGAGGTCATCCTCCTCCCCCTGCGATCCTACAGTCTCCTCAGCACAGCAGCTCAGGGCCTCATTACCACTCACTTTATCTCTGGAGGGAAACTGACAGTCAAAGCCAAGTTCTCATTCACTGCCTATGTCTCCCCTCAAACACACACACAGCCACAAGCATACAGGCACGGCCATCCAACACGTAATTCTTTATCTCCATAGCTTTTACACAACAGGACAGCAAGCCTGTGATTTATACATAATTAAAACTCATTTAACTGACATAGTGTACTTGTCCTCATAACAGAACTGTTACCAATTTAAAAAGAACCCGTAGCAGGGTCAAATTAACCTCTGGCAAGACAAGCACTTACATTTACTCATGCAATCTGCTGAGTTTCATTGATATATGATGTTCATATTTAGTTGCTAAGCTGTTAGTTCAACAGACACTGTGTATTACAGACAGGTTAGACAGCTTTCTGTTTCCTTTTCTAATCTTTCATCCAATAACTAGCAGCAATAGCTCATGGCTATTCACTGCAGCCTCTCCATCTATAGGCTACCATATTCATGCGAAATTAAACAGGAGCAGTGATCATTTATGTCTTTTAGATATTTCAACATTTTAGGAGACAAGCTCGCCTCCCATCTCGAGTTAGATGGGGAGACTGATTCCACTCTCATATCTCTCTCGCAAATATATGGCCATAGCCAGCATACAGTTAGCTTAGCTTAGCATTCAAACTGAAAACAGGGAGCGTTAATAACAAATTATATCTTGTTTGTTTAAAAGTCTAGTGTGTAACATTTAGGAGGATCTATTGGCAGAAATGGAATATGATATTTATGGGTATGTTTTTTTTTATTAATGTATAATTACCAAAAATAAGAATCATTATGTTTTTTTTTTCCTTAGAATGAGTCGTTTTTATTTTTAGCATGTTTCGCCACCATAGTTTTTCCTTCACACAATCTGCAGCTACACCGTTAGATGCCACTAAATCCTACTCACTAGACCTTTAAGTGGAAAAAAACAAAGTGGAAAAACCTTTTTGTTTTACAGTGGTTTATGTGCTATTTCTTGGCCAAGAGCAGTAACTTTGTGAAATCTTGTTGCCACTGTAACGGTGAGGGAGAGTGGCAACAGGGGGAGGACCCGAGTTCAGACAGTCAAGGCAGACAGGATGATTTCAATGATTTATTGATTCAGATGGCCTACAGGTATGCAGACAGGCAAGCAGGCACAGGTCCAGGTTGACAGAAGCTCAAAAGCAAAAACAACAATGGAAGAAACCAACATTGCAACAGGGAACTAACTGACAACGGCTGAATGAAAGAGGACTAATGAAGAAATTGGAGCAGGTGGGCGGGAGAGGACAAGTAACTGCATGGCCGGTGAGAGAAGTGGGAACAGGTGAGTAGATGGGTGGGGCACTCAGATAAAGAAGGGAAAGTCAGAGGGCATCTGGTGGACAGGAAGAGAATGGCAGTGGTTTAAGGAAGTGGGAATGTGAACAGAAGTGTTCCCACCCAAGAGAAAGTCTTTATGCTAAGCTATCTAAGCTAATCAGCTGCTGGCTGTAGCTTCATGTTTTTACAGATATAAAAGTGGCATCAATCTAATAAAAAAATATCGAGCTACCACTTTAAGAACTCCTTGTTGTTTTTTTTCCAAGGTATAGCTAACTTGCACTGCAGTAAACAGGCTTTGGCTCGATAACCACTAAAGTTTGACTCCAATGAGACTTCCTCTGCCACCAAGCAGCTCTGCCTCAAAAAAGTGTTTGCATGACCAAAACTTCAGTCTGCCAAAAAAAAAAAAAAAAGACAGGAAGGTAGCAGCTCTTTCTAACACCGAGCCAATAACTCATTCCCCCAGCAGCAGAAATTCTAGCTGGAATGAAACAGCCTTTTATGGTGCCAAGCAGACAGACACCAGCATAGACTCAGAGAAAATAAGAGAAGAGGTGCAGACTAAAACAAAAAAGTACAAATAAATAACAGCAAGAGAGAATAGTAGAGAGAGGAGTGTGAAGGAGAGAGAGCTCTATAAATTGTAGCCTGGTGCAGGGCTGCAGGGAGGGAGAGCAGCCTGATGAATAGAGCCATCAGCCTAAGCAGAGGCTACAGAGCAGCCTGCCATCTGCCTGCCCATTACTAGAATAGAGTGTATGACGGTCTACTCTCATCTGCAGGCCCCACTGGCATCGCTGGCAACCAAGAACATTTCTATATGTATGTGTACGAGTTCAGTCTTCCTGAAGTCCAAACAGGATGAGGTGTCCTTGCCTAGACAGAACCATAACCGCATTTTTGAAGTGTCTTCTGTGGCGTTTTTAATTTGTGTGGGTGAATGCATTTGTCAAGCACTTGTATCTATTTGAAGCATATTGTGTCACACTGTGTGTGTATGTGTTTGTGAGGACACGCAAGAAGGCGAGGGTGGCCCTCAGAGAAGAGTTACAGCAGCGTGGCAGACGCTTCACACCTCATTGGCAAGCAAGGAGAGCCAATCACCGCCAACAGATCCGCCCCTCAGGCTGCCGGTCTATTCCTCAGTATCCTTGGTGAGTAGAGAGTGAGAGAAAGAAAGAAAGTGGGGGGGGGAGTAAGAAAAAGAGCAGAAGGAAAGTGAGACAGAACAAAAGAACAAAAAAGTGAATAAATGCAAACACAAGAGTGAGGATAGACTGTGTGGAGAGACACTAAAAGGCACAAAGAGACGCACAGACGGATAAGAGCCGGAGAGGGAGTGTGGGGAAAACTTTAAAGGGAAAAGCTATTTTTTCTTCAGAGAAGGTCATTAAATCAAATGTGATTAGTCATCATGGTGGAGGATGTTGTCTTTTGTATTGCAGAGTTGAGTGCATTCTGGTGTTATTTTCAAGTCAGCCTCTTTAGAGAACAGAAGCAACATAGGGCTGAAATATCATAAAAGCACTGAAATGAAATTGTAGCTTTATTCTAATCTCTTTATACAGTCCAGTACAAGAACTGGTGTCGACAAAGTCTCACTGTTTAAACAGAGACAGATGGTATGGAGCACTATAGAGACAGTGAAAGCCATACTGACAGAAGCTGATATAAACAACAGTCAAAATAGCATAGACCTGCAGTATGGGTAGAGGTGCAAAGTGAAATGTCTTATACATAAAGGGTACCTACAATATGAGATGTGTAGTAAAGATTCTTTAAAATCATGCCAGAGTGTGGCAATAATGCATGGGTTGCAGAGAAAAGTGGTTCTGATGGGAAATACTGTATTTGGATTTCACTGTTGACTACATCTTCTTAAATACTGGTCCATAGCCTGATGTGTATCAGTTTGGGGGTCCTTGACACCAAAAAGTTTGAGGAGGCATTGACTGTATAAAAGACGTCGATGTAGCAACGACTGGTGTACTATTGTTCTGAAGCCTCGGGGCTGGATTTTTGGCCATCAACAACTTTTTTTGGAGCCAGAAGTGACCATATTTGGACAAGAGGGGAGGAATGAGGGGTGGATCTGACACAAATGCTAGATATCAGGTAATGCTACCTTGGTTAGCAAAGTGCATCCATAGTTCACATTAACTGTGATATTAAGGAATTAATTCATAATTGTGGCTAGCATCAAAACAGGCTTGAAACAAAATGTAAGCTTCTTACTAAAAGAAAAAGAGTGTCTTTTAGTACAACCGAATGTTGAACAATACATTTCTAGGTGAACAAAATATTACAATTAACTTTCATGAACTGAAAACACACTGTGAAAAGGTCAAAGTTCAAAGAAGAAAACACAGACATCACCCAAAAGCAATTTCACGGATATTTAAATGCACACAGTGCTACGGATACGCATTGTTACGCTTCTATCCTGATTGATAGGTTGCTGTGGTAGGGTCTTGTCAATCACAACGTAGCCACACCCTAAAGCATACCCTGCTGTATTGTCTATTTGACCCTAAATTGGACCATAATTTACAGAATCATACTGTATTGAAGATTTGATTGAGACCATAAACTCATGAGGAAAATGTTTCCTGAGGTAATAAATCAAGTGTAAATCTAGAGAGAAATGTAGGGTCATTTTCTCTCTTCTTCATGATGTGACTTCTTTTTGCAACCAGTGCAGTCACACCCTGCTGGCAATTAGAAAGAATGTAGGTTTAAGGCACTACAGCACTGGTTACGTTGGTTACGTCCACATCTTTGACATAGTCTTAGTAGTAAAGGATAGTCAGTGAATAAGGAAAATGAAGTGTTTTTGTTTTTTGGTTGCAAATATCCATGGCGGCTGAACGATCACCACCCAATCCTTCTCTCATTTGCACTGTATGCGTGTTTCCTCTGTGCATTCATTTAAATCACAAATTCTTATGCCTCTTTAAAGCCTTTTGCAAGGTCTTTTGTTGGACAGCAAGTCACAGGTTAGAGACACTAAAGTTACCAATCTTTTCTGGCACACTGTAGCTGGTGTTGTGGGCACTGATAGCATCCTGTTAATGAGATTCGTTGGCTGGACTCATTTTCTCTTGGGACAGGGTGCAACACTCCATGTGTGACAGCAATGTGGATCCTCCTATGTCTTCCTGCACATGCCCTTATCAACTAAACTAAAAGAATTAAAGGAATTTTCATTGTCTTGAGCACAGATGATCATGAAGGAGAAGTTTGGCGAGGGAAATTGTGTTTTTTAGTTGGTAAATGTGTGAGTCATGATGGTGCCGGGTACCTCATTTATGTGTGGCAGACAGACTGAAGAAACAATCAGTTTGGCACAAAATGTTTGGATAACATAACAGATTTTCCTGAGGTATTAGCAACCTCCTAGAGATTTAACTATTAAAATCAAGAGAAATGGAAAATTACAAAAAGGGGAAAGTGAAACATTTGTACAGAAAAGTGGGACTACATGACAAACAATTCCTTATTCTAAATGAAAATGGAATTATATTGTATGTATGTATATCATATATTATGTGTGTATATTAGTTTAATTTTGATTGGAAAGAAAATATTCCTAATACGCTAAAGTGCAAAATACCTGAATGTCTGCTCAGAGGTCACAGTTTTGATAAAATAGATATCCTGAAATGAGATTTGTGTTTTTCATCAGTTTATAACCTGATGTTAGTTACCCCAGTCCATTCTATGAAAAAAAAATTGTATATGAAAGCTAAGTTTGAGTAACCTTCACATGAAATACCTGCATTTCAGATTTTTGTTCTCCTCGCTCTCCACCGCCTCCATCACCTCGATCACCTCGACCATGTAGCCTCGGCCTTCGGGACCCCTCAAGAACACTGACACAAATTTGAACACTGCCTGTTGTCACTCCAGTGTTCAGGGGCAGCTCAGTGCTCAAGGACACCTCAGCTACACTGTTTCACCGAGATGGGAAAATATTTTTTTCCCCCGTTCAGCTCACTGTTATTATTTAACACCTTATTTATACAGAAAACCTTACATCAAAATCTCATTACTTCTACCACCTGACAAAGGAAAGATTTTAACAGTGGCTTCGGGAGGCGTGTATATAAATTCCAGCTAATTTAGCACTACATTAATTTTGAATTGCATTATGCCCTTCCCTAATATACTTTCTCGGGAAAAACATTGTATTAAATGCTCTTAAAATGCTCCTTCTTTGTGAATTTAAAAAAGGAAAGAGTACAAGCAACTCTTCATATACAAGCTGTTTTTGAGGTCGGGGCGGAGGCCTTGAAAACGGAATAGGTAAGCCCTGTTTGAATATCATGATATTCTAATCATCCTTTAATTATATTAGAGGGGAAATAATCTCATTACAGACAGAATACACCGTTAAATCACTTATCTTGGCTCGGAGGTGCTGGGTCAGATAGAGGAGTCGTGCAGCTTGTGTCAGAGGGAAAAACAAGAGGGGAAAAAAATTGGCCATGGTCTACTCTGTGGAGAAACACCTGCCATGAACTCCAATACCCATTATCCCCAACCTTTAGAAAACCCCTCCAAGGCACTGACACACACACACACACACACACACACACGCTGTATAATAGAAGTCAACCCCTCACCCCTTCGAGACTCCAAAAGTCAAAAAGCAAAAGGACAGCTGACTGATAGACAGAGGGGGATTAGTCACAACGAATCACATGCTTGCACACACACACACAGCCTCTCTCACTTCTTCTCTTGCTCTGTCCACCACAAACACACACTTTCTTTTTCTGATGCCGAATTAAGATAACGCCTCGTCTGCGATCACCTGCTTCCACATCAAAACCAGACCCCAACCTCCACTCACACACACACAAACACTGATACTGCATAAAAAGTGAATGGATGGCTGCATTACTTACCCCACACACACACACACACACACACACACACACACACACACACACACACACACACACACACACACACACACACACACACACACACACACACACACACACACACACACACACACACACACACAGTGTCTGTCTATCCCAACCCAGAGAGTCTGGCAGAGTGCAGACAGCGTAGAGAAGCCGTCTCCTCCAAGGCAACATTAGGCTGGGAGACTGAGCAGGGAAGAAACACACTCCAGAGCGGAAGGAAAGATGGAGAGAAACACAGAAAGAAGTAGATAAGTAAAAGAAAAGAGGGACAATGAGGGGATAAGGAAGAGGTAGAGCTCTCTGCTTTTTCACTGAATAGCTAAGGCACACAGAGGATTCAAACAACAGAGCTATATAAAGAAAGAAAGAGAGATAGAGAAACAGAGAGAAAGATAGATTATGAACCAGAACATCTGGGACGAATACTTCGCCCCCACGCTTCAGTCCCTCTCTCTTGGGCTCATTCACTCCGTTTGGCAAAATGTCGTCCTGACAACATGAGGGCCGCGTATCCATCAAAGTTGTACAATGCTTGCTGTAATTAGCATAAAATACACACATAACATACACACACCAGAGACAGAGATTATGAATATTTATGGAGGAAAGTTCAACAGTAGTTCCTGCATTGTTTCGTCTTTTATTTCCTCTGATCAGACATCGTCACAAGCGTTGGTCTGGATGAATACTCAACACGCATGTCGTTACATTATTAACATAACACAAACTCACACGAAACAGATGCAAAGAAGAAACAGACGCATACATGTGTTTTTGTGTACAGGATAGTGCATTAGAAGCAGGAACACAATGATTTCAATGATTTATGGACAACAAAATAGGACTGACTTGTATTAGTAAAAATAAACTTCTAATTTTCTAACAGTGCTGGAGTGAGAAGGGATGGGTCCAAGCGGCCTGCGACAGAGGTGGCTTGCTTTCTTGTGTTCGTTCCGGTTCCGTTTTTTACTGTCCTTTTTAGCGGGCCGAGCTCAGGCCTGCTGGGTCCTGTCGGCCCCTGCTGTCGCTTTAAAAAGGCAGACAGTGTCACTCCCTACATACTCACAGGAGAGATAGACAAAAGGTAAGAGAAGTGGGGAAAGGGGACAGGAATCAAGGGGAAAAACGTGTCTATTTCTCTCTCAGGGTGCTGTGTTCGGTGCCTCTAGTCTGGTTTGGTTCGGTTCTCCACGGGGGTTTACAGAGTGTGTGTCTTGGTGCTGACTCGTGCCTCGCTTCCGCCGCTCCGGTTTGGTCTGTCTGTCAGTCGGTCGATAATAAGTAATCCCACACCATAAACTCTTCATTGCTCCCTCTTTCTTTCTCTCTCGTCCTTATCCCCCGGTCCTCAACTTGTTCTGCAGACAAGAAAAAAAGAGAGAAAAGTGCATTAGAGAGACAGAGAGACAAATAAAACAGAAATCTAAATAGCCAAACAAACAGCGGGGTAAGATATTATGTCACACAAGAGAGACGAGACAGAGAGAGGAGGGCCTGAGAGTACAATAAAAGGAAAGAGGATGGAGTGAGTTGGAGAAAAGACCAGAGGGCAGTGGATTCCATGTTGGTGATAAGTGCAACCACAAATCCCCAGCACTCCCTGTCAATAACCATTTGAACTGGCTTACTGCGGCTGATGCTACTGGATGAAAACTGCCTAAGAGGAGAAGAGTGAGAGACGAAGCGAGGGACATAAGGAAGGGAATAAGGTAGACAGAAAGTAACAAAGAAAAATCCTCACTGACCAACTTAATAATGGTGTTGTGGATGAAGTAAGTCCATGTCAGTAACATTTTCTGAGTTTATTTTGTGCGTTATTGATCTGCCGACGAAATTATTATTGACAAAAACAGCCATCCAAACAGTCTACTACACTGTAAAATACAGGTCAGGACAAGGAGGAGATCAAAGAGGGATAATTCCAGTTTATTAGAACCTGGGCATTTTATTTTGTAGTTCTGGCCATCATTTCTAGTGGTTAAAGTAACATTGTATTTACTGAATCAAAAGTTACTGCTGAGATCTGGGAACACAGCAACATTGGTACGATAAATACCGACAGGGAAACCAATGTTGGGGATTCTACTGGTTAAAATTCGACCCACTGTACTTGCCATAGTACATGCATACAAAATGGGGGATTTTTTTTGGACATTTCGGGTGCCCTAACTTTTGTTTTTTACCAACAAATAATGTGGTGGTAACACGAGGCCAGAGATTGCTGTGGCACTAAAAACTGAGTCGAGGGCCTCTGCTGGGAAACATTTCCACCTCCTAAAAGGAGGCGATATCACACTGCAGATGGGATTTACAAGAGCCACATGGAAGATTGTTATTATTATTAATGGCTAATAAAATATCTGATTACTGCAATCAATAGTGAGGACTGTTGTGGTTTGTGTTCATCAAACTTGATTTTGAACTTGACCATCAATGAACTGTAAAATCACTGCAGGCTGCAAATATTATTATTCAAGTGCATGTTTAAACTGCATTTACCTCAACATTAACCAAATCAAAACCGTCCCCAACTCTGCCTCTCCCTCACCCCTCTTCCTCTCTATTTTGTAATCAAGATCACGGTTAGGATTTATTTTCTGAGCTTAGTGATCTCATAGGAATCCCACTTCTGAGTGGACTGCGTCTCTGAACTCTCCTTCAGTGGCAGGGTACATCTGAAGGGCACTATGAGGTGCAGTTCATGAGCTGACTGCGGGCTAAAACTCACCGTAAAGCCAAGGGGAGCTGCAGATTCTGGTGATAATTATGGGTAGGTTCAAGCACTACGAGCGACCCCTTTCAGATTGTCATGTTTTTATTATAAAACTACTTTAACTAAGACCTCTATGGGTGTGTAGATGCTTGCGTTTCTTATTGCAATATTGATAAACTAAAATGTAATTCTGGATAAGAGAGATGACCAAAACACGTCTATGAAATAAAAAGCAAAGACATACAACATTTATTGTCTAGAAATATTAATAGGACAAATTAAATGATTAAAATATACTTTTTTTCTACAAATCTGATTGAAATCAATATAGGCCTTTATAGGAGCCAGCACCTTTTTTATTCCGATCCTTGCAAACAACCGCTCAAACTACAAACAGGTCAGCTAGCTTGGCTCCTTTGAGAGTAAAAGTGAGATGGAAGGGTCAGTCTAAAAAATGAAGTGGAGAAGGAAAAGATAGGAAGCAAGAGGCGGTCATGCGGCGAGAATATGGAATGAGGAGGCAAGCAGTGGATGGAGAGATGGGCCTCCGTGATAAACTCTTTTTCATAGAGAGAGAGGCAGAGAGAAAGAGACTTTATCTGTCCTTCGACTGCCTCTTCTTCACAGTTTGTTATCTGGACCTGTTAAGTGCTGAATGCATTAGAAATGTGACCAGGGATGAAGGGATAGTGGATGGAGGGAGTGAAGGAGGAATAGTGGCGGGCACAGAGGCCACAAAAGGGAGCGAAAGTGGGTCTAAATGTTATCACTGACCGCGGCGATAGGAGCGCTAATTATCAGTGACAAAGGCCGGGCTGCTGACGACGGCTCTGTCTTGGTTCCAGTTGAGGGGTCAATATTGTAAAACTTATATTTAGGAAGGATTTGGTTTTTATCCTCAGTGAGATGGCATCTTGGACATCCCTACCACAGTTGTTAGTAGAATTTAAGATTTGAAGGGGAAGGACGAAGAAGGGGAAAGAGATTTTGCTGTCTGAAAGCTGTCTGAGCAATGCTATCAAGTGCCTTTGACAGAAAGGGCAAAGAGATGAGAGACGGCTGTTTAGAGGGCACGTTTGGATCTTCTGACCTCCAGAGGTCAAAGTCGTGTCCTCTTGACATTTGTTCTCGATGCGGCTTCCTGCCTGGCTCTGATAAAGCTGTGTAAACATCCTAATCACGAAGCTGCATCAGCTCATATCAATCCTACTTCATTCCTTCCCCCTATTTTGTCGGCTGTGTAATTCTGCATATTATTCCTTTAAAGCCTTATCACAGAACTGTTTTTTTTTTTTTTTTGCACCTAATGACTTTAAAAGCAAGTCTTAGATAGATAAGCACAGACGAACAGGAGTGTGCTGTGATTGCCGCAGGGTGATAAACACAAGCGGATTACCATATCGTTTCAGGCTTGCTTCCAAACAATTTACAACATCATAACAGCATCCGGACTGTGAACGTACCCTTGCTGAATCTTGACAAGGCTACAGGTAGCTCTCTTATACACACACGCACACACACACCTATACAATGAATAAAACATTGTGCAATTTACATGATGTATAGCTTAAAAATCTGCCAGCATCTGACTTTTAGATCTAATACTAATACCCACGACAGTGAGCTAGAGACGCAAAACTCAGTTTTCCTCATTTCCGGCAAAACAATGCAATTGTAAAAAAATCTAATAGAAAAGCTCCATGAATCTGAATTGAGCCTTGTTGGGGCCGATGGATGTTACATACAGTGAGAGAGGGGGAATCAAGTTAATATCAACCTGAGTGACATTACTATTACCATACAGTGTGTGACCGTGGGAGACAGAGGGCAAAAAAACATTTGCACTTGGCAATGAAAGAAGAGAGCCCCAGAGAGGACAATGGTATCCAACTAGCAGCGGCTACTCCCTTGGTCTTATTACATTAAAACACACACAGAGACAGCCGGGGGAACGCCAGTGTCAGCAGGTATTATGGAAATAGATCGTAAGGTTTAAACTGGCTATTTAGGGGGAGCTTTATTCAGGCGCCAGTAGCCCAGTGGAAATTATATTCTCCTGTCTAAAAGCAAAGAGCTGGCGCATGTAAATGGATGCTAGTGTGCATGTGTGTGTAGAGTGTGTATATTATATTAATTCATTTAGACATTTAAAAAGGGAAAAGCAGCTCTACTTTAGCTACCATACATATCTATGAGCCCAGTGACGTATGCTGCAGCAAACACAAATGGGGCTATCAATTCAACTGAAAGCTACACTACAGGATTAGGAGGCGCTACAACTTACATATCATCTGTCCATGAGGGTACATGCGCATACTTGTTGTTCTTTTCAATGGGGAAAAAAATATGTTATTCTGGAGGGGTTTTAAGGATTCAAGTTCAAGTTTCAAGTATTTTACTCACGTGCAAAGAGTACAGTTGTACACAATAAAATGCTCATTCATTCCAATTTACAAGCATGCAATACACATACAGTATGCGGAATATTCATATGCAAATTATGTCTAAATGAGATATGAAAAGTGATAAGAAGAAGACATACAGCTTAGTTTGGTAAATACGCACCTGTTTTGCGTTGTTGACACACTGTAGGTAAAGGGATGCTATGTTGGAGCAGTTCAGGGTTTTTCCAACGTTCTCTTTGTAGCATGCAAGGATCTGGCCCTGCAGGTCTGCGCACACAGGATACATCTCATACCGCCTGCGGGGGTGAGAAGGGGAGAGACATAGCGTGAAAATGGGGGAAAATTTGGCGTAAAAGTGGAAGGGAGGACGGGATAGGAGGAACGGTGTGAGGGATGAGAGTTATAGGAAAGGGATAAAATTGTAAAAAAAAAGGGGACAGTGATAAATGTGTGAGTGAGAAAAGAGTCAAAGGTGGACAGAAAATTAAGAGAAAAGGCATAACCTTGGGCAATGCAGGGGGATTGAGAAAATGAGTTTGAGATATAGAAATAGAGAACAAGAGAAGAGGAACAAAGACATATTGTTGGTCTAGAAAATGAGCAAAAATCGATGGTCATTTTTATCTCAAGAGAGCCCCTGCACTGTTAGAGCCCACTGAGTTATACTGAAGTCGACAGTGTGCGACACCCCCTGCCTTTTCTATTACTACGGTCATTCCAGCCCAAAACACTTGAAGCAAGAATCAACATTACTGTAACCGCTGGAAGGAAGGTCGAAGGTCAGTCCAGCCTCCACAATCTGCCGCTATGACCATGCCGATGTGTGCATCACAACATATTGACAGAGAGGCCACAGGGGTTTTCTAAAAACGGAGAGGTGTTGAATAAAGCTTCCAGCAGTGGCTTCACCTCCTGAAAAGGGAGGTTCATCAGTGCCAAGGGAGTGCGTGGAAGAGAAGCCAACTCGGCAAATCAATGTGTAACGCAAAGGGAACAAGAAAGGGCATTGGTTTAATCTAGACGCAATAAGGCTTACTTGTTATAATGTGATGATGATAATGATGATGAGGTTAAAATTACCGGCAAGCTAAGTATACCTTCCTGGTAAATTAGTCCCAGTTTTTATGTCTTACCACTAAAAACCCTTTAAAAAGGTCTCACAGAAGAGAATATTGATCACTCTATTGGGCACCAGTGAATCCATCCATTGACGCAGGAAGGCTATCTGAGAGTGTCGACCATTAAAGACTGGGTAGCTGTCACCTTGGACTAGTCTAAATAGCAAATTCAATCTTTTAGCATCCAAGAGGAGGTCGTTGTTATGTCTGTGAATGCTAATATGTCTGGTTATAGGACATGCATCAGTAACTTTGCACGCTCAAGACCGTCCTTGAGGTCTGCTACAGTTTTACTGCTACCGTCTTAGCTGGCATGATCCAGATGCCAGCACTTCTAACGGTAGATGCTACACTACAACTTCAGTGCATTTAAAATTGGACTCCTTTGTTAGATGTATACTAGAACTGGATCCTTTCGCCAATCTAAGTAGAGGGATGTTCCACCAGCTCTGGTGCCTTGCCCAATGTTAACTGCTTTTGTCTGTCTCTTCACACACCCCATAAAAATCTATAATGATGACACATGCACATGCTAGGGCTATTATGCTAATGGTGGTGTCATCGTTTTGTTCACACCAGTGCTCAGGACACTCCATCTGCCTCACTAAATGCCTTGCATGAGTGTGAAAGGGAAAGAGATTTTGCCCGTCAGCAACTATGGTGATCTCAAAGGAATATTGGGGGTGAAGCAGAGCCCCTGTAGTCAGAATCAGATGTTTGATTTGCCCCCCAGAGTGAGAAATTACACCCCCGTTGGATACAAAGCACAGGATTCGTCGCATGGGTCATTACCCAGGGTGAAATGCAGCAGGAAGCTGGTGCAGTGGAGATGTGTACATATGTGCATCACCACATGGTCATATTTATTAGGGAGGCTGGAAAAATCTATAGTCCTTGTAAGTGCAGGTCAGTGACGATTTGTGACAACGTGAGAGCTGCTCTCCGCACCTTCTAAAGTAGTATGATTAATCAATAGGCTTTCTCATTCACCATCCAATACAGTGCTAAGAGGCTAAATGTCTGAAGAATATACTAAACACAAATAGTCAGTTTGGACACTAAATTGAATAGTTTGACATTTTGGGAGACATGCTTATTTGCTTTCTTGCCAAGAATTAGATGAGAAGATCAATATCTCTCATATCTGTATGATGAATATGAAGCTACATCCAAGAGACAGTTAGCTTAGCAAAGCCAGAGACTGGAAGCAGGAACAGTGGTCCTTGAGTCTTATCACTGAGAGCCATAAGACCACCACGCCATTTTTACAACTGTATATGTATGTATATGTATGGATTAAACAAACAAGACAGAACATGTTGAATCAGTGAGCTTTAGAGGTGCTGTTAGGCAACTTTTGTCACCGATGGACAGAGCAAGGCTAGCCGTTTCACCCCCCGTTTCCAGTCTTTATGCTAAGCTAAGTTGAAAAGTTCTGTATTTACTACAAAGACGTGGGAGCTGTGTCCATCTTCTCATCAAACTCAGGCAAGTGGATAAGCATATTTCTCAAAATGTCCACGGTAGGTCTTTCCACAGACCGGAACATTATACTGCTGGTTTGTGAAGAAGGTTCTGCATTTGTGAATCCACTGGGGAGAAATTCAGTCATTTGCTAGGAGGCATGACAAGGCCATTGCTCTGCGTCAGGGTATTGAACGATGACAGCAGTGCTCACAGAAATCGCTGCCATCCTATTCCTATGGATCCTGGCGCTCATTTATTACACCGCCTATGGGCATCTACAGGGACAAGGGGAGACACATACACCCACTAATTACTTTCTTAAGCGTTTGCGTTAATGCCAGGTGCATCCTGCTGATACAAACCACAGTGTTTATCACCAGTAATGGCCTCCGAGAGAGAGAGAGAGAGGGAGAGAAAGGAGGACAGAGGAAGGGAGGGAGGGAGAGAAAGAGATTGGTAGGGGGGTAGAAATGAAGATCATTTCTTCTTGATGAGGAACTAGACAGTGGTACTTCTATTTTTGCTTGCTCTCTGGTTCTCTCTTTGGGGAAGGGGCTGAGACAGTGGTTGAGTTAATCATGGAGACAATAACACTGTCACATACACTCGGTGGCGGCACACTGCATCCTCTATCATCTATCATTAAGATTAACATGAAGTTCCTGCCACCAACCACACAGAGCTGGTAGGGAAAGACTACAAATGTCCCTCGTCCTCAGTTTTACATTAGGTGTCCTCATGTCATTTACTATAGCATACTGCTGTAGTGCTATAAACAAATATACACACATATCATGAACCATAACCACTATTGTAGTGTAATTTCAAAACTTATCAATAATATCTGAAAAGAGAAGCTTTTTGTTTTTAAAGTCAGTTATTGGCCTCAGGTAATCATCAAATTCTTCCAGGCTAGTTATGGAAATACGCTCAAGTTACTGTACTCAGCTTTAGGCAAGCTAGAGGGAGATTTTGTTTCTTGGATTTAATTACAATTTGCACCAAGAATCCATTCCTACATCCCTAGCTATATCAAATACCACTAAAAACAAGACCAACATTAGGTTATTCGTATTGAATTCAGAGCAAGATGGATCCAAGTATCAGGAGTAAAACACACACACACACAGTAGATTCCTTCACTGTGGGAATAGGGTATAATTATAAATATAGTCAAAAACAACAATGAATCATCCAGTTCCCATGTAACCTGAGCAGTAAGGCATTCATAAACACCAAGACTATATCACATTCCCAAAGCAAAACTTCTTTTTTGGCTATGTTTAAATGATTTATAGGAGATGAAACAAGGGGTGAAGGCCAGAGGCACTTTGACATTTTTACCACCCTTATTTAGGCTGTATGTAGAATTTTGCTTAACAGGTTAACTCTTTTGCTTTTGACCCCTTTTTATTGAAGCAATTTCTAACTTAAAACCCCTCATCAAAGGGTGCATGTGCAAGCTGTGAGCAGTTAAATGAGGCTTGATATTCCTTTTCAGACTGTTTAATTTGAATACGTTTTAGAGGTGAATGCAAAACAGAGACTTTTTCAAAAGTCTGAAAAACATTTTTTTGGGTCTCAGAATAAGGGAAATAAGCCCTCTTGGTGACACTGCTCTTTACCCATACAGCCATCACACACACATTGCTCAACACGGACACTGACGGCGTCAGTTAACCGGTTATAGAAGCAGCCATGGCCGATAAATGTTCCACACACCCCTTTGTCTCTCCCTTTTGTCATGATCTCCATCCTCCTTTAATTTCTTTCTCCTTAATTCCATCCCACAATCCCCAGAGGTTCATGGGATATTTAATAAAACCCCATGTGGTGGAAACACTGAAACAAATATAGACATCTAGCCTGATACAGTTGGTTATTTCCACTCTGTGTGCGTGTGTGTGCGTGTGTGTGTGTGTGTGTGTGTGTGTGTGTGTTGCACCTCTGTACCCCAGAGACAGTAAATCTAAACAGTCATATAGGGGTCTCACCTCATACCATCAGTAACAGTAAAGGTCTCTATAACACCACCTTATCCACCCCAACCCCCACCACACACATACACATAGCAAGGTCCCTCTTGCCTTGATCCACTGATAGGAATGAAAGGGAGGAGTACGTTTGCTTTAGATATCTATATTACAGTTTCTCTGCTCTGCGTCATAAATCACAAAGCAGAGAGAAGGAAACAGAGACGAAAAGAGAGGATATGAAAAGGACAGAGAGGAGGGGGACAGATATGGCAGAGAGAGGGGGACACTCCATTGAGAAAATACACTTTATTGGAGAAAATGAGTCAGAGAAGAAAGCGTGGAAAAGAAGAGAAGAGGGTAGTCTATGAAGAAAGAAGACTGGAGAAGACAGTTGGAGAAGCAGAAGACAAACCTCCACAAAAAAACTCCTGAAGCTCTCTTTTCTTTGTAAAGTTTTCCTTTAGGAAAGAACAGAAAAGGGTTGAGAGGAGGGGCAGAAATGATATGAGAGGGTAAATGTGTCCCATTTAACATGTAATAAAGCAGAACAGATTACCTGCTCACTCCCTCCTCAAGGTGTCCCTATATCATTTAATAAAATCCCTTCTTTCAAGCATCCTGCTGCTCAAGTCAGCACATTTCCATGGAGGGGACATATTCGAATAGGTTTATGGTTACAGCTACATTCTTCAAAGAACATATTGACGGCGAGCTGGGGGACGTATTGAGATCGAT